CTCTTTGGCCCGGGCAGCACCAAGCAGAAGACTTGAGGTTCCATGGTGTAATGGTTAGCACTCTGGACTCTGAATCCAGCGATCCGAGTTCAAATTTCGGTGGGACCTTGTTTTTTTACCAGCACCGCACAAAAAAAGCTGGAATAGCATTCTTATCTCTTGAAGAAAATGACAGTTACTCTGAGCTTTTTAGCAAACATGGCAGAAAGTGGCCGGTTAGCTCAGCTGGTTAGAGCGTGGTGCTAATAACGCCAAGGTCGCGGGTTCGATCCCCGTACTGGCCAAACTTTTACCCTTTAAGGCCTCAGAGGCATTTCAGGATTCTGCTTAGTCTCACAAACACGAATGCAGCAGGATACTTTGAAAAAGCAGGCCAAATAGCTTAGTTGGGAGAGCGTTGGACTGAAGAGCTGAAGGTCCCTGGTTCGATCCCGGGTTTCGCCAAAACAGTGGTGTTGTTCTATTTTGTGCACAAGGGCCAGGTGACTGAGTCACCCAAAAAGCCTAGCTGCTTCACCCATAAGTCCACCTGCTTCCACTTGACCAAAACGCTATCTTCCTCCCAGATAGTCACGTTGCTTCTGGCGATGATTCCAATGGCCTGATCGACAGCACTCTATAATGCTATGTATTTAGCGCTTTGATGTCCCACTGCTGACACGCTGCTGAATAAAAGAAAACTGTGACTTGATAGGGCTTCTGAAGGGTTGCAATGATATGTACTACACAGAAACCGGCAAAGCTGACGTAAGTAGTTTCGCTTTAAACCCTCAAGGTGCCAACAGCTTTGCAATAAAAGCCAATGTAAAAAGGCATGAAAACAGAGGTGGAGAATGCAGTCATTGTTCCCGCTACCTCTCCCATGCAAAGCGAGCGCTTAACCATGAGCTAATTCCCCTCAAAGCAATCAATAATTGGCGATTTTCGACGTGGTCAAAATAGAAAAAAAAAGATCACATTTGCTCTGTGGTGGCCTCTTTGCCCTGCCTGCCGTTTAGTCGTCAAAATGCCTGGAATAGTGCGCTTTTCTTTTGAAGGCCCTACCTGGTCCTGCTCCAGTAAACGTGTGAGGAGCCCTGCATGCCGAATGACGAGTTACTCAGAAATCAGTGCACATTGGCACTGCCTTGTATTGACATTCTGCTACTTTCTGGCAAGGCCGTTTTCTTTTTTTTTTTTTTTTTTTTTTTTTACATTATTTTCTCTTTGGCCCGGGCAGCACCAAGCAGAAGACTTGAGGTTCCATGGGGTAATGGTTAGCACTCTGGACTCTGAATCCAGCGATCCGAGTTCAAATTTCGGTGGGACCTTGTTTTTTTACCAGCACCGCACAAAAAAAGCTGGAATAGCATTCTTATCTCTTGAAGAAAATGACAGTTACTCTGAGCTTTTTAGCAAACATGGCAGAAAGTGGCCGGTTAGCTCAGCTGGTTAGAGCGTGGTGCTAATAACGCCAAGGTCGCGGGTTCGATCCCCATACTGGCCAAACTTTTACCCTTTAAGGCCTCAGAGGCATTTCAGGATTCTGCTTAGTCTCACAGACACGAATTCTGCAGGATTCTTGTGAAAAGGCAGCCGAAATTGCTCAGTTGGGAGAGCGTTAAACTGAAGATTTTAAGGTCCCTGGTTCGATTCTGGGTTTCGGCAAAACAGTGATGTTGTTCTATTTTGTGCACAAGGGTCAGGTGACTGAAAGTCACCCAAAAAGCCTAGCTGCTTCACCCTTAAGTCCATCTGCTTCCACTTGACCAAAACACTATCTTCCTCCCAGATGGTCACGTTGCTTCTGGCGATGATTCCAATGGCCTGATCGACAGCACTCTATAATGCTATGTATTTAGCGCTTTGATGTCCCATTGCTGACACGCTGCTGAATAAAAGAAAACTGTGACTTGATAGGGCTTCTAAAGGGTTGCAATGATATGTACTACACAGAAACCGGCAAAGCTGACGTAAGTAGTTTCGCTTTAAACCCTCAAGGTGCCACCAGCTTTGCAATAAAAGCCAATGTAAAAAGGCATGAAAACAGAGGTGGAGAATGCAGTCATTGTTCCCGCTACCTCTCCCATGCAAAGCGAGCGCTTAACCATGAGCTAATTCCCCTCAAAGCAATCAATAATTGGCGATTTTCGACGTGGTCAAAATAGAAAAAAAAGATCACATTTGCTCTGTGGTGGCCTCTTTGCCCTGCCTGCCGTTTAGTCGTCAAAATGCCTGGAATAGTGCGCTTTTCTTTTGAAGGCCCTACCTGGTCCTGCTCCAGTAAACGTGTGAGGAGCCCTGCATGCCGAATGACGAGTTACTCAGAAATCAATGCACATTGGCACTGCCTTGTATTGACATTCTGCTACTTTCTGGCAAGGCCGTTTTCTTTTTTTTTTTTTTTTTTGTTTTTACATTATTTTCTCTTTGGCCCGGGCAGCACCAAGCAGAAGACTTGAGGTTCCATGGTGTAATGGTTAGCACTCTGGACTCTGAATCCAGCGATCCGAGTTCAAATTTCGGTGGGACCTTGTTTTTTTACCAGCACCGCACAAAAAAAGCTGGAATAGCATTCTTATCTCTTGAAGAAAATGACAGTTACTCTGAGCTTTTTAGCAAACATGGCAGAAAGTGGCCGGTTAGCTCAGCTGGTTAGAGCGTGGTGCTAATAACGCCAAGGTCGCGGGTTCGATCCCCATACTGGCCAAACTTTTACCCTTTAAGGCCTCAGAGGCATTTCAGGATTCTGCTTAGTCTCACAGACACGAATTCTGCAGGATTCTTGTGAAAAGGCAGCCGAAATTGCTCAGTTGGGAGAGCGTTAAACTGAAGATTTTAAGGTCCCTGGTTCGATTCTGGGTTTCGGCAAAACAGTGATGTTGTTCTATTTTGTGCACAAGGGTCAGGTGACTGAAAGTCACCCAAAAAGCCTAGCTGCTTCACCCTTAAGTCCATCTGCTTCCACTTGACCAAAACACTATCTTCCTCCCAGATGGTCACGTTGCTTCTGGCGATGATTCCAATGGCCTGATCGACAGCACTCTATAATGCTATGTATTTAGCGCTTTGATGTCCCACTGCGGACACGCTGCTGAATAAAAGAAAACTGTGACTTGATAGGGCTTCTGAAGGGTTGCAATGATATGTACTGCACAGAAACCGGCAAAGCTGACGTAAGTAGTTTCGCTTTAAACCCTCAAGGTGCCACCAGCTTTGCAATAAAAGCCAATGTAAAAAGGCATGAAAACAGAGGTGGAGAATGCAGTCATTGTTCCCGCTACCTCTCCCATGCAAAGCGAGCGCTTAACCATGAGCTAATTCCCCTCAAAGCAATCAATAATTGGCGATTTTCGACGTGGTCAAAATAGAAAAAAAAGATCACATTTGCTCTGTGGTGGCCTCTTTGCCCTGCCTGCCGTTTAGTCGTCAAAATGCCTGGAATAGTGCGCTTTTCTTTTGAAGGCCCTACCTGGTCCTGCTCCAGTAAACGTGTGAGGAGCCCTGCATGCCGAATGACGAGTTACTCAGAAATCAATGCACATTGGCACTGCCTTGTATTGACATTCTGCTACTTTCTGGCAAGGCCGTTTTCTTTTTTTTTTTTGTTTTTGTTTTTACATTATTTTCTCTTTGGCCCGGGCAGCACCAAGCAGAAGACTTGAGGTTCCATGGTGTAATGGTTAGCACTCTGGACTCTGAATCCAGCGATCCGAGTTCAAATCTCGGTGGGACCTTGTTTTTTTACCAGCACCGCACAAAAAAAGCTGGAATAGCATTCTTATCTCTTGAAGAAAATGACAGTTACTCTGAGCTTTTTAGCAAACATGGCAGAAAGTGGCCGGTTAGCTCAGCTGGTTAGAGCGTGGTGCTAATAACGCCAAGGTCGCGGGTTCGATCCCCGTACTGGCCAAACTTTTACCCTTTAAGGCCTCAGAGGCATTTCAGGATTCTGCTTAGTCTCACAGACACGAATGCAGCAGGATACTTTGAAAAAGCAGGCCAAATAGCTTAGTTGGGAGAGCGTTGGACTGAAGAGCTGAAGGTCCCTGGTTCGATCCCGGGTTTCGCCAAAACAGTGGTGTTGTTCTATTTTGTGCACAAGGGCCAGGTGACTGAGTCACCCAAAAAGCCTAGCTGCTTCACCCATAAGTCCACCTGCTTCCACTTGACCAAAACGCTATCTTCCTCCCAGATAGTCACATTGCTTCTGGCGATGATTCCAATGGCCTGATCGACAGCACTCTATAATGCTATGTATTTAGCGCTTTGATGTCCCACTGCGGACACGCTGCTGAATAAAAGAAAACTGTGACTTGATAGGGCTTCTGAAGGGTTGCAATGATATGTACTACACAGAAACCGGCAAAGCTGACGTAAGTAGTTTCGCTTGAAACCCTCAAGGTGCCACCAGCTTTGCAATAAAAGCCAATGTAAAAAGGCATGAAAACAGAGGTGGAGAATGCAGTCATTGTTCCCGCTACTTCTCCCATGCAAAGCGAGCGCTTAACCATGAGCTAATTCCCCTCAAAGCAATCAATAATTGGCGATTTTCGACGTGGTCAAAATAGAAAAAAAAGATCACATTTGCTCTGTGGTGGCCTCTTTGCCCTGCCTGCCGTTTAGTTGTCAAAATGCCTGGAATAGTGCGCTTTTCTTTTGAAGGCCCTACCTAGTCCTGCTCCAGTAAACGTGTGAGGAGCCCTGCATGCCGAATGACGAGTTACTCAGAAATCAATGCACATTGGCACTGCCTTGTATTGACATTCTGCTACTTTCTGGCAAGGCCGTTTTGTTTTTCACATTATTTTCTCTTTAGCCCGAGTAGCACCAAGTAGAAGACTTGAGGTTCCATGGTGTAATGGTTAGCACTCTGGACTCTGAATCCAGCGATCCGAGTTCAAATCTCGGTGGGACCTTGTTTTTTTACCAGCACCGCACAAAAAAAGCTGGAATAGCATTCTTATATCTTGAAGAAAATGACAGTTACTCTGAGCTTTTGAGCAAACATGGCAGAAAGTGGCCGGTTAGCTCAGCTGGTTAGAGCGAAGTGCTAATAACGCCAAGGGCGCGGGTTCGATCTCCGTACTGGCCAAACTTTTACCCTTTAAGGCCTCAGAGGCATTTCAGGATTCTGCTTAGTCTCACAGACATGAATGCTGCAGGATACTTGTGAAAAGGCAGTCGAAACAGCTCAGTTGGGAGAGCGTTAGACTGAAGATCTAAAGGTCCCTGGTTCGATCCCGGGGTTGTAAAACAGTGCTGTTGTTCTATTTTGTGCACAAGGGGCAGGTGACTGAAGGCCCTACCTGGTCCTGCTCCAGTAAACGTGTGAGGAGCCCTGCATGCCGAATGACGAGTTACTCAGAAATCAATGCACATTGCCACCGCCTTGTATTGACATTCTGCTACTTTCTGGCAAGGCCGTTTTATAATTTTTTTTTTTTTTATATTTTTTTTCTTTAGCCTGGGCAGCACCAACTGGAAGACTTTTATTAAGCTTGGCAGTAAGTGGCCAGTTAGCTCATACTGCCACCTGTAAGTCGTGGTTATTCTTGGTCACACCGGCCAATCACTTTGTGAGCTGGAACCAAGATTCACCCTATTCTTGGTTAAGGCAGCCAATCGTGTTCTGAGTTACAATGAACGCTATGGCCAATCAGAGCCCTTATACCATCCATGATTTGTACTGTAATAAAAGATTTCGTTGCGGATTAATTCGGAAACCAATTGCAAAGTAAGTATTTTTTTAACAAGGTGGTTTAAATGAATAACCATTACAGTAACGTTAATTACTACAACATAATTATTATATGATTGTTATAGATGTTTTATAACGTTATTTGGTAAGATTAATGTTAGCCGACCAAGCAAACTGTACAGTTTTACTACAAACATTTTAATGCAGTTTTTAATTAATTAATATGGATCATGCATGATTGCATCACTAATAATAAACCAACAATATAAGGGTCACACATCAATCCATTACAAATAATAATGTTATTATTATTAATGATGGATTAAATTGTGACCCTTATATTATTGGTTTATTATTAGTGATGCAATCATGCGTGATCCATATTGTTTTATGCTTTATGATTAGTGATGTATTATGCGTGAGCATTATTAGATTAGTTTATGATTAGTGATGTAGTGATATGTGAGCGTCATTATACTATTTGTTTATAATTAATGACTGATGAATTGAGCCTTATATTTATTATTAGTGAAGTGATTCATTAATGTGTGAGAATAATGCATGGGCATTATTGTAACTATGGTAGTAAATGACAATATAAAGTGAAGTAATGTATAATAACTGCATTAAAATGTTTGTAGTAAAACTGTACAGTGTGCTTGGTCGGCTAACATTAATCTTAACAAACAACGTCATATAACATCTATAACAATCATATAATAATTGTGTTGTTGTAATTAATGTTACTGTAATGGTTATTCATTTAAACAAACTTGTTATAAAAATACTTACTTTGTAATTGTTGTCCGAATTAATCCACAACGAAATCTGTTAATACAGTACAAATCATGAATGTTATAAGGGCTCTGATTGGCCATAGCGTTCATTGTAACTTGGAACATGATTGGCTGCCGTAACCAAGAATAGGGTGAATCTTGGTTCCAGCTCGGGACAAGATTGGCCAGCGTAACCAAGAATTTAAAAAAATCTTGGTTCTAACTCGGACCGTGATTGGCCGGTGTAACCAAGAATAACCACGAATTACAAGTGGCAGTATGCGCCACTGGCCCAGTCTGCGTCAGCAGTGCTCATTAGCATGCTGCTTGGAAAGAGGACACGGCTCGGTCAACATGCAGTTCCTTCAATGCTTGCTGTGCTTTCTTGTCATGGCAAGTTGTGGTGTCGATAGGATGCTCTAACACAGAGCATGTGACAGTCCCTCCCAAGAAGAACTGTGATCCAGGCTCTGAGACTTTCTCTTCTCCAGGAGGAGGTTGCAAATGTTATTAAAGAGTTATTTTTGTCAGAGCAGCTGCAGCACACCTGGGTGGAAGCCCACAGCTAGGCTTGATGGTCCAGCCTGGTGGTCTAGTAATTAGGATTCGGCGCTCTCACCGCCGTGGCCCGAGTTCGATTCCTGGTCAGGGAACTTCCTTTTCACCTCCATGGTGAACTTCGAGCAGTGGTGCCGATGATATCTTCGCAAAGGCAAGAAAGCGGCTCTGAGCACAAAATACATCCTTTGAGCTGGAATCGAACCTGCGACCTAAGAATTGGTCCTACAGTCCTACACTCTACCAACTGAGCTATCGAAGTCTTACATAGCAGTTCCACAACCACACCCTATAAGGTAGCTGCAGTCCGACCGCTGGCCAAAAAGGACAGGAGCAAAAGTACTTAAGCCTTCCCATACCGGGAGTCGAACCCGGGTCACCTGGGTGAAAATCAGGAATCCTGACTGCTAGACCATATGGAAATTGCCACTTTTAAAACCCAGTCTTGGCACAAACTCCAGTTCTTTCTGATCGCTGGCACGTCCCTGCTCCGCTTGAACAAGTGCCACTCATACACTTACGCATTCTCTCATACACAGTTTCTTGGTTTCCACAACCGAGAAACTTCTGATCCATAGTCATAAGCGCTATCCTTTGTGCCACTCTGTCCAGCACTTTGTTAGCACATTGCTTGAAGCAAGGACAAGGCTCTGTCAACCCGGAGTTCCTTCACCACACATTCTGCTTTGTTTTTTTATGGCAAGAGGTTGTGTGGATGGGATGTTCTTACAGGATTCCTGACAGTCCCTCCATGGAAGACCTGAGATCCAGGGTCGGAGACTCTCTCCTCTCCAAGAGGAAGTTAAAAGTATTTTGTGTCTCTGTGTCAGAGCACTTTTTATGGTTGCTGCAGCTCAGAGACCTACAAGTGGAGGAGATTACACTGCAAGTTGGCTGGATGACCTCTAAGGGGTCGGCAGTTATGCCACACGTAGGCTGGGTTTGCAATTGATGTAGCTGTAGTAGACATTCATAAAAATAAATAAAAATAAAACTGCTTACTCTGAGGTTGTGTTTAGGGTTGGGGTAGGTGTAAAATTGAATAAAACATAGCGGGTTACTGTGAGGTTGGGCCTAGGGCTGGGGTAGGTGTGATTTTAATAAACTGCAATAGGTTGTATTCTGTGCCATGTACAAGACATTGAATCAATGAAACCCACATGGAGGTTTGTTACTGTGAGGTTGGGTTAAGAGTTGTGGTAGGTTGTGTTGTAAAATAGCAATCAGTTTTTTATTATTATTGTCTCTTTTTCTTTTAATCAAACAATTATTTGTATTGGTCATGTAAGGGTCATATATTAACTGAACTTCTAATGTTGTGGGTGAGTGCTGTGCATACTAATTAGCATTTTTGCAGAAGTAGATACATGCGGGTCCAAAATTAAATTCAGCTCTGCAGAAACTTCCTGTCTGTAGAGAGGTGTTAAAACTGAACACAAAACATAGAAAGATGTATACTTTGTTGTTGGGCAGAGAATTCGTAGAAAAAGAGGAAGTATGTCGAAGGTGTGGCCAATGGAGGACTGAACAATGACTGACAAGTGACGTTACACCAAAACTCCACCTGTTAAGATCAGTTGTGTATATATGCTGAAGTCAGGAAATGTATGTTTGTTGCGAACCTCTTGAATGTAATTCTTGTATTGCATTGGGGTAATGTAACCCAGAGCTCTGTCATCGAATTATTCATTTGTATCCAATAAATTGTTACGATTTTTGACATTGAAGAAAAACCTCTCCAGACCTTTTCTCTTGAACACGCATGGAATAGAGATAGAAATTCCAACAATATGTTAAAATATATTTGAAAAATATTATATACATAGAGAGAGAGAAAGACAGAGACATTAATCCGATGAGATAGAAACTAGAAAAATAGTTGCACTTGTAACACTTTGAGGAAGTGACACTTTAAGGAACTGAGATTTGATGTGAGAGGACAAGATTGAGTTTAGGTGCAAAAACTAAATAGAACAATAATATTAGTAATAATAATGATTAAAAAAAAATAAAAAATTGTTATGGCTTACACTGGCTGTTTTCATCTATGAAAGTCAGCTGCATAAGACTATCTAAGCCATCATCTAGGGTCAAAGAAAAATCATGGACACTTAGTGGATGTGGATGAACAAGATGAAGTGAGTTTAATTTTTCTAAATTTAAAAAGGATAAACACCAAGAAAGAAATCGATAATTAAACATTGCATTTCAGATATAAAAATATATATTAAACAAACATGAGGGGTCAAGGCCTAATATGAACCCTGAGATATAGCAATAATGTTGAACAATTTTGTCACATGGTAGGCCATGTCATAATTTGTGTTTTATGAATAATAACCCAACTGTGTCTTGTTTTTTAGTCTCCACCATCATAGTGCCCTACAGCTTTGCCTGCAGACTAAGCAGACCATAGTGCTGAGTGGATGGGAGTGAAGATGCCAAACTTTACTTAAAACTATTATTAAAGGTTAAATTGATTTTAAACTTAATAAAACCTGTCTCATTGGTTAGACTCTAGAATGTGGTCTCAGTGGCTCACATGGTTCTTGAGTGCATGTTTCCCTAACATCAGAGATACCAAGTTCTGAAGGAAATCTGAGAAGGAGGTGGCAGTGGAGAAGAGCAGTAACTGGTCTCCATGAGACATTATTCCAAAGACGGGTAAGACTCTCGTTGGCCACCGGGAGCGACCTGAGCCAGGAATTTTGTCGCGGAAGACTAGGCACCTGTACAGGTAGGCAGGTGTTGAGTGAGATGGTTGTGGAGCGGAGCAGTGATGCTTGAAAGGCCTAGAGCATCTGAGTATGGAGGGGCACTGTGAAAGATCAGTGGTCTGCCTCAGAAATGTGGGCTCCTCCAAACCAGACCACAGCAAACTGCTAAATATGTCTGGAGATCAGACACTCAGAAAAAGGAACTTGTGGGTAAAGTAAGAGGCAGGGTGCTGTCAAGAACCATTTGAGACCATATGATGACTGGTAATATGAAAGAGACAGAATTTATTAAGGTTTTGTTATGAAAATAATAACTAAGAAAAAGACTTAAAGGAAAATATAC